TCATGTTAGTAATTTATAATGAGCTAATAACGAGAAATCAACCGAGTAGAACCTCCTTTGTGTGTAGTTTCTAGTTGAGTAATAAAAAGAATTTATATTATATTTATTTGAAATACCATTAGTGAATCCTATAACCTTGACATATGTTTTGTTATTGTTTAATCCTTACATCAATATCACATCCCAAACTCTCTTCAACTTTTTTTTCTGTTATTATTCTTTTCAAATCTTTTTCTTTATTTGTAATTTATATAATTCACTTCCTTGTAGTTCGACCCCGGTCTTGCTGGGTTATTTTACTTTGACACTCTTGCACTTGGAATAAGACATCAACTCTTTAATCATGTCACTTATATAAGGTACAAAAACTTTCAACTTAATTATTTTGCACACCTATTTGTAACATAATCAAGTGTTCTTCAAGTTAAGAATTTCTATGTCCATTCATGACTTTTTTTTAATTATTTCCATCTTAATTAATTCCCATGTCCATTTTCATTTTTTATGCTTTATTACAAGGTTCTCCATTATTTTTGTACTTGCATAACATGTTTGAGTAATTTTCTCTTCCATTAAACTTGTCAGCATGAATGACTAAATACTTAATCACTAACCTGTTAACTCAGTCAACTTATATTCATCTTGTTCCACCACATGTTATTTATTTATTTATGTTTGTTGTCATATGGTCAATTAATTGACTTATTATTCACTTTGCATGACCACTTAAACTATTTGGATACAATTTCATGCAATTGCCTTTATATTAATTTTCAACATAGTTTCTTTTACACTTGGATCGTATCAAGTTATCGATATCTTCATTTATATCACAATCCAATGCCACAATCGTGATATAATCATTCTGAGCCTTATGCCATATCAATATAGCTCAAGAATGGTATACAATTAGTTTAACATCTACAATTTATAATATTTATATTTATATCAAAATGTATTATTATATAAATCAACTTCTCGGCGCTAATATGAGAGGAACTTGACAATTAAATCATTTTGTTATATTAAAGCATAATACAACCATTTGAGAAATAAAATTTATGTTTGCATGTACTTTACCTTATAAGTTAGGCTTAACATCTTGGCAACTAAACAACTAATGCTACTAGCCATTATCGAGCATTAACCCCATTGTTGAATAACTAGTTTCATTATCCATTACTAGGCACTAGCCTCATTATTGGGAAACTAGTTTCAAGCATAATAATATTGAAATAGAAACATACCATATATATATATTTTTAAAAATACGGTTACTTGACTTAATAAGTTTGTTAACTAAAAGTATCAAGCACTTACCCTATGACAATATCCATTTACTATCAATTATTTTAGGGTTCTCATCATCTATATTTTATATAATTTACAATAATTTTTTTATTTGTCCAGATTATATGGATATGTATCCATGAGTTAATTTTATTCCATTGTTTAGAAAAAATATATTTATCATGTTTATTCACATGACAACTAGCCCTTTCAAACAAGCAATTATAAACAATGAAATTGAGTATCTTAAGCAAATTTTTTTTTTCTAGGCTCTTTGCTATACTCATTTTATTCATCTTTTTAAAACAATTTCAAGCAAATGATTATAAACAACAAATCTTGGTTGGTTTGGTTTAACCAAAGTAAAATACTATTCAGTGTTTTAATCATATCTGGAGCTATAAAACTCGGTTTTAGACATGATTTATCTTGATGTAAAGCTAAGGCACTAATATATAATTTTTATAAGAAATAAACACTTAATTCTTTTTTTTTTTAACACCAGAATTAATCATTATAATAACATTTAAAATCTATCCAAATTCAGTTCAATCAAGACCTTTCCTCGATTTGTTGCTTATATAGAGAGTTATATAACTCAATGAAAAAAAAGTAGTTCAGATTCCATCATCATCAAGTTTTAAATGCTATTATAAATTGAATGATCCAAACTACTAAATTCCAACAACATATTTAAAACAAGTTTGACATGTAAACCAAGTGTCTTTATACATTAAAACATCATCAAATATTGCTTTTCATAGCTTTAAACATAAAGCTCATCATTACTCTCATTCATATCAAAATCATAACATATCAAGAATCCTATTACAACTAACATAAGATTTCATTGTCTCAATTCATTATCATGACTTAACACTTACCAATCCAATACCATTAGACAATAATTATATAATCTCACAAGTTTTCATTTCTTTTCTCTTATGGCTGGCTTTACCAACCTGAGAAAATTAATTTTTTTCTTTTCATAATCTTTCTGATTTCATCAACATCTACATTATTATCATTTAATTTCACACAATCACATATATACATTCCGCATAAACATTTCATCTACATACTAGCATGTTCAGCTTAACCAATTTTAAATACAAAAATGCATTCATATTAAATCATTTTCAACACTATCATACAAATAAAATATATGTAATTTGGCTAAAACCCCTATAAGCATGAACACCTAATTTTTTTTTTCAATCATTCATAATCCAAGCCACTATTTTTACTTTATTACACTTCAATTATATCATTTAAATAAAATTTCTTAATTCCCCCAAAATTCTTTAAGAACTCTAATTTACAATCTTTGAAAATTCAATAGTAAAACTTACTAAAATAAAATCAAAGTAAATTGGGTGGCTTTAACAACCTTTTCATGTTATGTTGATGTCAATTACACTCCTCCAAACTAAAATTTCCATCTCCAATCTTTATTTTCATCCAATTCTTTACCCCCTCTCTAGATGATTATTTATGTTTAATATTGGGTGTTTAGGGTTTTAATCTCTCCTTCTACTTATCAAAACATCAATTTTTATGAAAATATATCAACAAGAAAAAGAAAAAGAAAAAGAAAAGGATAATGATAGTAGGCATTCCCCCAACCTTTTGTCTGCACTAGTGTTTATATAGGTAGAAGAATAATAAATTTAGCTAGAATAATAAGAATACCCTTAATGTCTTTGTAAGGTCTTTCTAAACTTTAGTTGATCTGAAATTGTGACCCAAGCTAGATCCACATGTCAGGAGGTTATCATAAAATTTCATTCTAATCCAATCATTGGATTGAGAGTTATACTTGATTGCGTAAAACTAGACGGTACTAAAATTACATCTCGAATATGATTTCAAGCCCAACTTCAAACGTGTCGTTCTTTCTCATCTGAATAAATTAACAAGCCTATCATACATCATTGAAAAGGTATATATATCTATTTTTCATCCCAAGTAGAACCAAAATAAAGCTCCCATTAAAGCTCAAGATATAGATTAAATAGTAGTCAAAGATCCAGTGTGATAAATTTGTCTCTTTTTAACATGAACATGTGAACTTAGCCCATTAACTCTTTTTTTAACCCTCTTTCGTTTAGACCTTATACTAGGCCCACACTCTCACATTTTCTCATTTTGTTTATTTTAGATTTTTTCCCCTTCCTTGTTGAAATTTTATTATCTTCGATCCTATATTTATATTTATATGGCCGTTTATATTATAAATACTTTCTAAATTACCTAGGTAAAGACGTTCACAATTACTCTCCTTTAAGTATTCATACTTTAATTCTCAAAACATTTATCATACAAAAACAAAAATAAATACTCATATTCTTGAAATTTAAAGCTTATTATTTTATTTATTGTAATTCTTTACTTAAAAGTCATTGATATATCATTTGAGGGTCCTAAACTCCACCAAAAATGATTGTTTTGCAGATATTGAGCTTTTTATTGTCAATCATTTATTTATTGAGCTAGCTTTTTATTGTCAATCATTTATTTATTTATTTATTGAGCTTTACAGGAGAGAATATTGATTTAGAGAAGAGAATATTGATTTATATGTGATCAATTACTATCCAAATATTAAATTATTGTATTCCCGAGTATATTGAATATTGGAATTTTGAAATATGATCATTTATGTTTGTAACGACTAAGGTTGACCAAATTATTCTCCACTGAATATATTGGTACACGTTTTATAAAATTTGTCACGCCGGCTTGTAATTTGATGCTTTTGTTTTAGCTGAAAAATAAACAAGATTTTGGCTACATGAATTGCATTGGATGCATTAACTAGTAACATCAATTTCAGGATGGAAGCTAAGACAAGTATTTGGGCTTGAAAAAAGACACTTCTATAAAGAACCCCTTGTATAAAGGGAAGAAGAATGTACTTGGCTTCAAAATATCTTCCACGGATCAAGATGCTTATGCGTGGAACATCGGATCGGCTTTCATGCTAGGTAAGGTAGGGAGGAAAGGACGAGCTAGCGAAATGGGCCACAATAAATGTAGCTGATCATCATATCAATGCAATGGAAGTTTCTGGGGGAAAGCTTCGGCTCAAAGTTCAAAATATGCTGGAGATGCCGAACTCCTATTTCGGATTGTATGAATTGGGAAATGGAAGGGAGATTTGCTAATTCACCAGGCTGTCTGTACTTGAAACAAGGAGGACAATTTTCCATGCCTTGGCCCTCACCCGTGCATCAGGGATCACCCGTGTCCTATACACCTCTTCCTCATCAACTCGAAAACAATGTCTTGTATATATTCAAACTTATTTGGGCCATCCAAAATAGTCGGCAATGCATTGGCTGACAAAACACACGATGGAATCATCAAACGCTTTAGTGCAGGGAAGTTTTCTGCAATCGAAGAAGCAGTGCGAGGGCGCATGTACCCGAAAAGGGTTAGGCTATGAATGCACTAAACCTTGACATTCCACAATCTGTTGGTTTTTTAATTAGCTTCATCGTCATGACAACTTGATTTGGGTAATCAAAGAGGTGTGAAGAGTTAATTATGGCATAGGCTATATGTGCTGCAGTGCTTAATTAAGATGTTTGAAGTCTACAATCAATTAGTAACATGGTGGGTTAATAGAAATTAACCAGATATATGCCTTGGCATATCAAAACATTTCCATACTTGTTAGAGTACTTCATTCAGTAGTGCTAAGGAAGGAGACAAAGAATAATTGTGTATTTAAAGCAAGTTTATTTCTTTCTACTAAATTTATCTGCTGAAACATAAATATGCAAGCTCCTAAATGCATGTTAAGCTTGTATGAAGAGAACTCAGCCTTGTAGCGGTTTTAACAGATGGATGGGGATGGGATAAAACTGGAAGTCCCCAGTGAGTGGAAAAGATAATGTTGGGATACGGAGTCAGATCATCCATCATCTTGATTCTATCAATAACATGGGCATACACTTTTGCAATCCTGCTGTGTGGGCTTGGCATTAGGATCACAGACAACGCCTTGAAAGTGAGTTTCCTGGAGCGGGATAATCGAAGACCCTTTACCCCTCCATTCATTTTCTTCACCCAAAAACGCCATCGTCTAGGCCTTGCCATTAATTTTTCATGATATTGATCACCGCCATTAATAAGCTTCTCGTAGCGGAACCTCGAGGGGATTACAGCATTAGCTTGGAAACCCATCTGCAGCATTAACAAGAACTCCAGGTTAATGGACTGGAATAACAGGAGCTATAGGTCAGAAGTAGGACTTCGTCGACTGGAGCTGGTGCCTTGTTCGAGCAACAAATTAATACTTGCATGTGTGTGTAAGGAAGCAGAGCATTTAGAGGGTCAAGTGGAAGGAAGGGTGCATTGAATGTATCTAAGAGTAGTTAGATATATGCGGAATCTGATCAATTTAATTATAAATGTTGCTTCAGATACATAGCACTAGAATGCAAATGCAGAAAGGTAAAGACTGCTTGCCTACCTTTTTGATTCTTCAAGACACATGGCTAGCACTAGCTCCACGTCTTAAGAAATGGACAACAAGAGGGACATAAACTAGTTGATTGACTGTTAGAAACACACACTGCAACTTTCTTTGATTAACTAGTCAGTGGTTGATGAGATCTGATGCAGGCACTAGCAGGCATGCATGTGCAATGATTGATGCAAGCCCATGTTACTTGCTAGGATACAAATCAAATCCAATCATTTTATAAAAAGCAAAGGAATTTAAAGGAAATCTACAAGGCTGTTTATTCTTCACTTTTGACAGAGATCAGAGTCCACACTCCACCATCAATCAAGTCAACAATATCAACTGTCGGGCTAATTTGTACCTTGTCGAACAAAACAACGACGTATTGCTTACTCTTTTTATTTTTTTCCTTTTCCTTGTGGAAATTCATTTGCTCCAACTTGTTTTTTTTTTAAATTAAATAGCTAATGGACGGTTGTTATGTGGGTTAGTTTTTTTTTACCCGTTAGTTTAGAAAATAATACACTTACTGAAAATCTGGCAAACAATAATTGTTTGTACAATGGCATAACACCTTCTAAAACAAGTCTAATAATATTTGCTAAGAAATTGGCAAGGTTTATCATGTTAATCATGTAACATGAAACTCTTCAATAATTATATAATATGATCGGGGTTTTTTTTACTTTTTTAATTTATGATTTCATCTTTTTGTGTGATTTTTCTTTTTAAGGTATATATTTTTATATGTTTAACACACAACCTTTTTCTTTCAAAAAATAATATATATTTTAAAAGATTTAAATTTATTATTTTATGTTTGTGGGTGCTCATTTTATGGCATTTTCATCATTCTTGATAAGATTTATATCGTGTTAATGGTAAAATTAGAAGGAAGAACAAAAACAAAAATAGTTGACATATTATATATCCACATAAGTTTACCAAAAATATTAAGAGAAATGGATTTATCATAGTAAGTAATTAGAGTGTGTGTGTGTTATTTCAATACATATAAAAAAACCTTAAAAGAAAATTCACACAAAAATATGAAATCGTAAATTGAAAAAGCAAAAACAAACATATTAAATATTGAATAATTTCATGTTATATGATTAACATAATAAACCTTACCAATTTCTTAAAAAATATTATTACATTTGTTATGCCATTGTACAAAGAATTATTGTTTGTTAGACATCCACAGTGGAATTGCTTCTTTATACAATAATCTCATACTGTATCGAGTTTGGACTTGTAGGCCCTGAGAGATTGTATAGATGCGGGCCGTTTAATTAATGTTGCCTAAGAATACAATAGCCCAACTAATGCATTCTTCAGATTTACAGCCCACCTTAGTAAGGCCTAGTAGCCCATCCATATTTGTAAAGTCATAGTCCAATATTGGAGGAGGTTCCCTTTCAATACGGAGCCCATCGCCGCACATGAAATGGTAGCCCAACAACGTCACGCGCTCTGTTTTCTTTTTTACATGGGGTTTTAGATTTATTTAACAATAAAGAAATACTAATAAATTAATAATTAGGATGTATAAGATACCTTATGCATGTATCTTCCATTCTGTTCAGTCAGCGATAAACTAAATTTGCTTGACTTTTAGGAGCAAATTAAGCATACTACTTTGCTTGATTTTGATAGTTAATTAACATATATATAAATAATTAATCAAAATAAGTTCAGGAATGGGATGGGAGAGATAATCAATATTAATTTCTTCTTAACTAAACACAGTACGTGAGGCCACATGTGCACAAATTTGAGATCCCAAGCACATTAATTCATAAAATTCTGTCATGCAAGCAGCCAGCAGCCTGCAGCCTGCAGCCATTTGATTATGTTTTCCTTTTAAGGTCAAATAATAATTAAGCGCAATAGGCAGATCGGTGTGTAATGCAAGCAATTCATTCATTTAAACGTATATTAACGATCATCTGTTGGGATCTACTTTCGAAGATACCTTGCGTGCTTGCTACCTCTTAATGATGCGGATCTTCCATAAATAATGAATTAGAGGGTTGATCAACCAGCTAGAACATTGTTGTCATGGTTATTTATATAAATGCAAGCAAGGGAGAGATTTATTTTATGAGATAATCATATATTTCGAAGTAACTTACCATTAATTCCTTTTACTCTTATATATATATATATATATATGACTGTTACCGTATACTTTTGGAGCACTACAAAATTTCTTCAAATATAGCATTATAGGACTACTAAAAGTTGTGTTAATTGTGTTGTGGTTTGATAATAAATTAGTTACGGGTAGGATACAATAAAAAATAATTTCGAGAGAAAATAAATCTTTGAGGTTTATATTATTTAGTCGACAAATTTATGTGGAGGGCTAATCAATCATGTAGATTATTCGCTACTACAAAATTAATAAATATTGATAAAAAAATTTCACCCATAAATTATAAATTATAGTAATACTTATAAATAAAATGTTTCCTTCATTATTTCCATCTATATACACTAACAAATTTTTTTTGTCAATGTATATTAAAAAAATTACAGTAAAAAAAAATACAAAGGGCAAATGATATGGCATTAATACATATGACCTTACCAACATAATAAATCCATCCCTAATATGTATTTATGATTTCATAATAGTTTTTAAATTATAACCTGACTATCAAGTTTATTAGTATGTTTTAAAAAGTTGAAAAATAATTATTAAAATATTATTGCTATTAATTAATCACCGATAAAATTAAACTATTGGTTATATTGGTTAAATTAAACTATTAATTATAAATGATTTTTTTTATTAAAATATTATATTTACTTATGAAAATAAGAATCATTGAGGAAAGTTTTTTTGACGAACAATAATTGTTTATAAGTCTATCAATAAAAATCATCCAAAGTCCAACTATCGATATAATGTATTGCTAAAATTTATGGTAATGATTAAACTTTGAATTTTGGTGTAAATTTATGGTGGTGATTGTTTTGTGATTTATGGTAATGATTAAACTTTGAATTTTACAGAGATGGTGTAAATTTATGGTAGTGATTGTTTTGTGAACACACACACACATATATATATATAAAAGTAAGAACAATTTGAATCTATTTAAATATGCTTTTTAAAATTATTGATTGATTAAATTAATATTTTTTAAAATTAAAATATTTTTTAAAATTTCAAATGTTGAATTGAATGTATTTCAAAAAGAGAATGAATTCAAATTTTTTTTTGAAGAACTTGATGCATGAATTTATAAGTTGGAAACTTGAAGAAAGAAGCTTATCTGGTAGTGTTGTCTTTTGCAGCCATTGTTACAAAAAGTAGCCAAGTGGTAGCAGCAGCCAAAGAGGATCGGAACTAACACGACGGGAATTCCCGTGATACGTGAAAGAACAAGAGAAGGGTAGCTAGATTAATTTAATATTTAAGACTGCAACTGGGACAAGTCTTTGAGTCCTATGTCACATAATACCCAGATTTATATATAAAAGGGCAAATGGAGACCCATTTTTTTTAAATTAAAAAAAAAAACAAAAACTAATACAAACTGCAGCGTGATAGTATTAAAGTGCAATTACTAAATCATGGTTTTAATTTGTTTCCAAAGTTGAACAGCTAGCTCCATGGCTGGCTGGCTTGTGTGAATGATGAAAGTAAAAGCAAGGAATCGATGACTTTCTACACGTTGGCTTTCTTTCCACTTTGTGTGGAATATTTGACTTTTATTTTTTTTATTTAAAAGGCAAAGCCACTGCAATAGAATAGATGCTTCTCCTTATGTTAGAATTCAAACTTGCTTGCGATAATATTAATTAGATGCCGCTTTCCCAAAGCTAAAATATTAGTAATTAAATATTTATATGGAATTGCGTGATGCATCTAAAATTCAGCCTAGTTAATCTAGGATTACACACCTTCATTACATAATATTCATCTCTATGTTCAGTAGTCTTCGATTTCAAGAGAAGAAGACGAATTCATTACAATATCACTCTACAATTAAGACATGAAAGAATCCAGGCATAATTCTCTATGCGCGCAGCAGAGGTTTCGGTAACAAGATGAACACAATTTTCCACACCCACGCACATACATACAGTAAAGTGTTCCTCGATCGATTATATTTCAAGTTGCGGAACTTAATACATCAATCTTATCTTACACAGGAAAAAGGACTGCTTTTAGTTTTAGCATCTAGCATGCGCACAAGAGCGAAATTAATTAACAACAGCACCATGATCATATATATATATATATATATATATATATATATATAACTTAATTGAACATCAATGCTGTAATGAAGGATTTTAGCCCTTTAATATTCCCAGGCTAGCTAGCTAGAGCCAGGCATAAAAACTAATTCCCACACTAGAGAAACTAGGAAGAAACAGTTTTTTCCCCTGAAGAATAAATACTAGAAAAAGAAAAGAAAGAAAGAAAGAAAGAAACAGCCCAATATATATTTATAGTCCTCCTACCAGAAAGTGCAGGTGGATGAGTTGTGATGATTATGGTTGATGAGGCGAAGAAATCTTCTTCTGCGGCGACAGTAGAATGCAAAACGGAGTCTGGACCAAACCAACCTTCTAATTTTACGAGCAGATCTTAGTCTCAGCCACATCACTTTCTTCGCTCTTATCAAAGAACCCTTGATCCTTTCTGTTAGGGTTCTTTTCCTGCTGAACTGGTAGCTTCTAAGAAATAACTGTCTCTTCTCCATCATCACCACTGAGCTGCTGCTGCTGCTGTAATGCTCTGAACTATTGCTATATCCTCCTAATAACTCATTCCAAGTACCGCTACTGCTGCTCCTCGACAGCGGAGTTGGCCCCAGATGATGGCTAGTGTTGTAGCTGTAGTTGCGGTTCAATACTAGAGCCATGATGATCACTCCTGCTAGCTAGCTAGCTACCTGGTTATGTGTGCATGAAATGGAAATTGATGGATAGAAAGATAGAACTTTAGAAAAAAAAAAAAAAGGAAAGAAAGGAAGGAAGAAAAAGGTAGCTGGCTATCTATGATCTGATCTAAAATAAAACAGGTGAGAGATTTTAAAGCAGAGATAAATAAGCCAATACGTACAACATAAGAAGGGAGGGAGGAGGCGGAAGGGGAAGAGGCTAAGGGGTCTGTTTGGCTGGCGTTATAAGGGAATATAATAACTAAGTTGATGTTGCTTCTCCCTGTTGTGGAGTATTGTGCGAGCAGTGCGCCGCCGCAGTAGGAAGGAGCTGGACCCAAGCCGGACTTTTCCTTCCTTCTTTTATACTCTTGACACGTACGTTGGGTAGGAAATGGAAGGATAAAGATGGGCGGTCACGTACCTTTTGTGTTGTTCTTTCCCTTTTCTTTTCTCTCCCAAATTAAAAGCTTGGGTTTATGATGCATGCCGGATGTAGATGGCTGGTTAGGTTTGAAAAGTTTTCTGTGGATCGGTTTGGGTCAATCTATTCCTGCTGACCAGTTCAAGTAGTTCTTTAGGGGGGAAAAAAATATAATTCCAATATTATAATCTACAATGAATCATGCCTGCTGTACAGTGTTTTCCCACGCTAAACAAATTCTATTAATTATAACACACAAGGTGTGTTTCTGTTAATTAGTATTAACTACTAGCAGTACTTCTTTCCATTAGCCAGTATACGTTCTCTTTTCTCAGCCCTTGGTAGCACATGGCTTTCTTTCAAGTGCAGCACCAAGATCATCATGCCATGATAATGAGCCTCAAATAATCACAAGATGTGTCAAGTAGAAGCGTTCAGTTCATGCATGCAAGGCAATTTCCATGAAAAGGGCAAAAAAAAAGCTCTAGTCAGAATGCTTAGCTTTCTAAACTTTGACTCTGAAATATTACAGATCAAATAATCAGGACAGTTGTAACAAATGGCTACTAACATTAGCGCACAAAACCTGCCTTGCAAGTCTAAACATTCACTAGGAAATTGTCTCATCTTGATTCTCTGGAAATCACCTGTTGTCAACATTTGATACCTACAATCAAGACCTTAAGCATGTACTTTCACACCGAGACTACTTGTGTAGCAAATCTAAAATAATACTTGAAAATAGAGAGAGATTCCAACAAAATAAGTAAATAAATTCGTAAAATAAATCATCTAACTTGCGAAAACAATATAATCAGAGACTTTCAACTTTTAACCATGGCAAATAAATAATTCAGCACAGAGAATTTAACGGACTCAAAAGTCAAATGTGCTTTCTCCAATTTCTATGGTAGAGTCGAAAAATTAACAATACCTAATTGGAACTGTGGAAAAACACTGTTGATATAGAGTGAAAATAATAGTGTGATGATAGATTTGTCATGAGTTATTGAGAATATTTAGATATTTTCATAAGGTATACGAGTAGTTATTATGAGGTTGAAACAAATAAAATATTATTGAAAGGAAACATTTTAAAACTAGTGTTTGAGGATTTGTTTTTTATATTTTTACAATAATTTTTTTATTATTATCCAGTCATCTAAAATGTAGTTTTTATTTAAATAAATATATTAAAAATAAAAAAATAACTGATACAAGCAACACCTAATATATGATGACATTTTTATCTTTTTATATCTAATAAGTTGTAACAACATCCTCTATTTTTTTTAAATATTTTATTTTTAAAATTTAATTTAATTGTTAGTTACTTATCTTTTTATTATTTAATTGCTTTTAAAAGTGATTTTCACTCCTAACAACATCACAATAATATTTTTTAAAATTTATTTTTAATATCTGCATATTAAAACAATCCAAAAAACACAAAAATAATTAATTTGAAGCAATTTTTTTCTTCAAATTTTAAAGAAAAACACAAAAATAATTAATTTGAAGCAATGTTTTTCTTCAAATTTTAAAGAAAAAAAATTAAAACTCACTCCCAAACAATGCTTTAGTTAGGTGAATAATCCAAGTAGCAAAAATTTTTTTAAATACATTTACAATACCTAAACATTATATTTTTACAAAAAAAAAACCCTTGCACCAGCTGAAAGATCATTCGAGGGTGGGGTGGTTTTGCTTCACCCAGTAACATCATCAAGTGCAACAATTAGAATCATCAATTTACTTTGAATAACACAATTTAAACATCCATGAACAAAAATAACTATATTATTACTAAGATTATAATGACATCCCACGCATTTAGGAAAGACTTCCTGTCAAAGTAGAACTGTGGAAACCTGTTTCTTGTGACATGGTCAAATTTATGGGACACAAAAACCTGCCATGGTAACCAAAATATGCAGATTCCAGCATCAAACTTCAAATCCTACAACCTTTTCCAATTATTTGACAACAGCAAGAAAACCTAGAAGTACTCTTTCTTAGTATGCCATGATGCAAATAGTTATGACTAGGATGGCAAACCGAAATGTAAAAAAGCAATGATGAGTTAAATCCACAACTCACATAATGGCCCTGGCTTAGCACACATGCAACAGCAAAAACAAGTTCACAAGAATCAAAACGCAATTTCACGATGCAAATGGGAAATTGCAAACGGGAAATCTAAAATTTCCATATCTTGAACACAAGTGGAAGCAGGGTGGACAGTCATTGATATTTGAAGGGTAAACAAACAATTCAACCAATTTTATGGTGACCTCTAATGTCTTAAGTATGACGTCTATAAGTTCTGTATCTACAAAGCAGAATAGGCAACAAAGGTGGATAACCCTGGACAAACAGGCAACAATTGAGAAGCCTGACATCAGCAAGTGAAATGCTTAAACCAAATGAAAATAGAGGACTGAGGGCTATGAAACACTCTCAAGGAAATTGACACTAATGATAGCACACATTTCTGCACACATTGCTTTCCTGAAGCAGAAAGACAACCTCATATTCCTCAACTCTTTGCTTTAAGGGTACTTATCTTAACCATTTGTTTCAGTCCCTCCATTCTTGTCACCTACTAGTTTCATTTGCAGCAGCAACTTTTGCAGGGTAATTGGAGAAGTCCATGTCGATAAGTGACATGTCATATGGTGCAGATACAGAATTAGAAGAATCCATAAGAAGGGAAGATTTCATTGCATCAGAATGTGCAGAATTGAGCACTGTATCATTTTTGGGTGTGCTTGTGGCGGAGGAAGAGTGACTGGATAGCTGAATCTCGTCTATCTTGTTTCCAAATACGAGTTTGTTTTTCCTCACAGCATCCATCTCATGGCCTGTTGGCACAAAGGTTCGCGAGCGATACTTTCTTGTTCCCTCATCACCCTCAGTATGGTTGTAGAGCACATAATCATGATAAGTAGGTGCAAACTGCAAATATTTTAATAATCATTGGCATATAAATAGGCATGGTTTTGAAAGGACCCATGGGAGGAAACAAAAAACTTGTCAGGCATACCTGGTGAACAGTGTCATGGTATAAGTCATTCAACTTCAAGGCATGTGCAAGACTACGTGTCAGATCACATGAACCAGCAACATTTGCACCAGCATACTCTTTGTATGGAAATGCATAAAGATGACCAACAGCAGCTATAAGCATCTCAACGCATATAATAAAATCTTGAAACTGAGCAGCTTCCTCTGCATCCTTTATAAATCCAGACTTTGCAGCAAGAAATACCAGAACTCCCTAAAGAAGAAAAATAGAAACATAACCAGATCATCACACATTTCTTTTGCTTCCATCTTTTAATTGTCCACAGATAAATTTAACATGAGACTAGGACACTCAAAGAATAAAGTAGATGCATTCTACATTGAAGAAGTAAGAACAACTGAATTCCCCCACTCCGCTTTTTAGGCTCAGAAGGGGAGGCAGTTGGCCAGTGTATTAGGAGAATGAGAGTTTCAAAAGGTAATTACTCCCAAATCTAATAACTAATATTGAGGCAAAGAGGTAGATGATTCCTTTTAGCAGATGGATGCTAGGACCTAATAATGAAGGGATCCTATCCAAAAGCAACATTGGTTGTGCCATATCAAGAATTTTTACAAACTGAAGCTCCTATCGCAGACTGGTATCACTACACCAATATTGCAAAGAAGAAAAACAACAAAGAGAAGACAATAATAGTCTGCAAGTATATCTCTCACAATTCTAAGAGAAAGTAATAAGTTCTAAACAACATTACGCTGCAGTTACATATTACGAATTGATGCAGGAAGAATGTCAGAAAAAGAAGAATATGAATTTTTCCTAGGAGATTTATTTTCTTTCGTAGCATAAAAGACCCTTTGGAATTTCCTATCAAGTAGATTAGTTCTACAGACTCTAGAGAACCCCAAGGATTAACTGTGATTGTAAGGGGGCAGGGGGTATCATTGGAGAGCTCTTGAGAATTAAGGTTTGGGAGTCAGTCAAGGTACTACCTGAAATTGCTATTTACTCTACTTGATTTCTTCATGAATTTCAGTTAATGTATTAATCAATCTTAACTCTCTGCAACTTGTGCACAGACGGTGAATAGGGAAAGCTAAAAGGCACCAAGAGTTCAAAAAAGTAAAGTTGTCTAAAAATAGCAGCACAACTTAGGCAGCTGAAAAGGCTCGTTACATGTGTCCTCATACATGCGGGGCACAAAACATGACTTATCAGACTAAAACTTGCAGCAACTTTACCAGATAGGAAATCATGCAAAATCATGCAAAGGCCTGCATACAATCAAGTCATTTTGAATCCAGTAGGTATAAACTTGAAAAGTCACACGAGAATCATGTGCTTTCTCTGCTCTTCAGGGATAGCACAAAGACTTCAACTACAAGCACATTGCTTGCAAACAAAACTTTGAACAATCAGTCTGTAAAGCTTCATAATGAGAACAAACTGCGGATAAAGTTTTACCTGCCAGTAAGTCAAGAAAACAACAGATTTGATGATGATAAACTTTGGAACTGGATTGAAAGGCTGAAGGAGATCTTTGCATGCCACATAAAACAATGCCAAAGCATACAATGCCATTGTATATGAGATCATGTATATAATGGTGAGATACAGATACGATTGTTTAGGACTGAAATTCCCATCCTTGTATTTTCCTTTTGCATAAAGTATAAGGGTAACAGCAACTAAAAAAGGCTTCAGAATCACAAACTGCAAACAGCCCTGCTTGCACCTCCGAATAAAACGCCTGCATTGAATCAAAACTCAAAACTCAGACAGAAATTAATGATAACGAACTTTGGTGAATATACAACTGCAGATTATGGAGTACACATTTTCTGAACAAAACAGGTCAATGAGATTTGTGCATTCCCCAAAGCCATAAACAAAGAGGAACTCACCCATCCAATGGTACGGGAGGAAAGCAACAAGTCATCAAACACCATGATGGCTTCATAGCCCGCCCACTTAAACTTAGCACAACTGCTCCAGGGCCACCAACCCATGCCAGGCATAAGGACAGAAAGTTATAAATGACCCAAGCTTCATAACTGAAACAGTTAATAAATCATTAGCATAAATGGTTCATGCAGTAAATACTGCACAAAGAAAGCTTCTTAGCCCC